ACCTTGTCACCTGAAAACATATGACAAACACTGATTAATCTTAACACCATCCAAGTGTGAGAGGTGTATATTATTATATCCCTCTTGATGGAAGGGGAATCAGCAAGTAAGAAATTAAGCAATTTACTCTCTGACAGTGGCAGAGCGAGGTATAAAGGCTGGGTGTCCTGATACCTGCTCTCTCCATTAACAAGAGATGTATTTGTTCTCCAGAGGATTTTTCACTACCAGGGGTAGGATTCCTTTGCTTTTGAAAGAGAAATAGCCTTTCCCAGACTGCTGCATCTTACAGTTTTTGCCAAAAATTACATTTGGCACACTGTTTCTGTTCCAGTCTCTCCCAGAAGAAAATAATTGGGAAGAAAACATCAACATCTTAATCTACATCAAAAATATTTTTCCTCAATATAAACAGGATTTAAATTTATAGCTGAAATATATTTTACAATAATAAGAAGCAAAACTAATCCCAATCTGTATTATTTTGCTGCATGGAATATTTTTTCCAGCAACATGCTTTCAGAATCGGTAATGAAATGTTTTATATCAATATGAATGAAATTTTGCAGCCAACCTCTCCTGAGTGAGTGCTACGGACTCCAAAAAATGTTGTTTACACAGTTGTGTTGCAGATTTAGCATGCTGATTTCCTACCCTGGGTTTTAGGTGTAAAACACTTCCCTCATGGGAAGAGAACAGCACTTTGTAGCATTGCTTGTTTCACATCCATGGCAAGAGGGCTTCAGGCTCAGATTTCTTGCCATCAGTTTTGAATGCAGTGTTTCAACAATGGGCCCACCTTTCTCCTACTCTGTCATCACCTTTTTTTCAGAGCAGACTTCTGTGGTCATTGTATTGTAACCAGATATTGTGGCTAAATTTACCATGTATGAGATCAATGCTAAACTGAAAATCAGGGTATTAAGTCAAAACTCTGCATTTTTCACATGATCTGAAATACCACAGCATTTAACCTCTTGATCAGCTTTTTTTCCTTCTTTCTGTGTGTGTGGTTTTTTCTTTCTTTTTTTTTCCTTTCCCAAAATACCTCTAGAATTAAAAGATAAAGGGAGAATAAATTTTCTGCCTGTTCCACAGTCCTTGTCTCCCCCTCATGCTGAGGATGTGGGTGCTGGTGCCTCCTGCACTTCCGAGAAACACAGTGGGATCAGTTACATCAGGTTGGGCCCCAGGGCCTCTGGATCTTCTCCTGGCCATCCTGCTTGGGTCTGCATGCAGAAATAGGAACAGAATAATTTCATAGAATTTCACAGAATCACAGAGTGGTTTGGGTTGGAAGGGACCTTAAAGCTCATTTAGTCCCACACCTTGCCATGGGCAGGGACACTTCCCACTATCCCAGTCCGCTCCAAGCCCCATCCAGCCTGGCCTTGGACACTTCCAGAGGTCCTGGGGCAGCCACAGCTTCTCTGAGAACCCTGTGCCAGGGTCTCACCACTCTTACAGGGAAAAATTCCTTCCCAGTATCCCATCTATCCCTGCCCTCTGGCACTGGGAAGCCATTCCCCCATGTCCTATCAGTCCATGCCCTTCTAAAAAATTCCCTCTCCAGCCTCTCTTGGAGAACCTCTTCAGGTACTGAAAGGCTGTGATAAGATCATCCCAAAGCTTCTCCAGGGTGGGCAAGCCAAATTTGCTTAGCATTTCCCCATTTCCCCATAGCAGAGGTGCTTCAGCCTTCAAATCATCTTTGTGGCCTCCTCTGCACTTTTTCCAACAGCTCCATGTCCTTCTTACATTTCAGTCCCCAGAGCTGGACACAGCACCGCAGGTGGAGTCTCACCAGTGGCATAGACAGGAGCAATCACCTCACTTGCTCTGCTGCCTGAATTTGCAAGTGGGCTGTTTTTAAGACTGCAAAAAAAAGAAAAAGGCAAGACCCTTGCTGCCCATCTATAAATATTTCATTCCGATCATTTCTTATTGATTTATTGGTTCACTGGGGGTGTAACATTTCCTTTGCTGCCGTGGTGGCACAGAAGGCAGCCCAGCTCCACAGCTCTGGGCCACGTCTTCCCCACTGGATACAGCTCTTGGTCAAAAAATACTGGGACCAGCAGAGCCCTCCAAAGAGGACATCTGGGCCCTGGCTGCAGGGAAATGTGCAAATCCTGCAGCCCCTGGTACTGCAGGCATTTTCCTCTGCTTGGCTTGGAGCACAGGAATAATCTGTTTGTTCCATTGAGGTCAGCACTTGCGGGATAAACCATCCATATGCATGAGCGTTCCAGCAGCAGGTCCCCAGGTAGGGTTTCCTGGTCCCTCTGAAGAGCTGCAAGAGGAGCACATCTCCTGCCCAAGGCTGTGAGGGCAGGCTGGTGCTGGGGTGGTTTTCAGAGCCCAGATGTGAGTAGGATGGAGTTTGGAGGTGGCTCTCTGGGTGCTGCTGTCCATGTGTGCGCTGGGCAGGGCACGGCCACCAGTCACAGATGTGTTGGTTTGGGCGGGGTTGCTATTGTGTGTCCGTCATGCGACCCGAGGGCTTGTAAAGCCCTTGGTTTTCTCAGGGGTAGTGAATGCTTCAAGTTCCCTTTGGACTTCCCTTGCAGTTGTTGAAAATCAGCATTTTTGAAATTTCATTCTCTGTGGCATGGTTTTTTCCATTGGCAACCGAGGCTTAACATGGTGACTGTTAGCTAGTAATTTATTAACGCTAAAGACAATGGTAGATGACCTTGATCTATAGACCAGGATTTTATTATTTTCTCATATACATTTTTGGTAGATTTCTTCCACTGCTTCAGAACAAATGGCACCAATCTCACTGTATCCAGTTGGGAATACACTTCATTCTTTAGCAAAATGTTGTTGTAATAAAACGTTTTAGTTGTTTAAAATACTCTCTGCTTTATTTGTATGCCACAAATGTGTCTTCCCATCTTGACTTTTACAAAAGAAGAAATTTTCCAGTGTGCCTGAAGTTTGTTAGTTAATTCAGTATAATGCCAGTCAGATATTCTTTGAGAATTGAATAAATAATATTTTGGGCCCCATGTTTTGCATGTCTGTGTAATATCCAGCATAATTTTCAAGATCGTGATTCTTGAGGATGGAACTGGAGGAGAGAATATTTGAAGAGGATTTGTAATATTTACTGCAATAAAGAAATTTAGGGATTACTCAAAGATCCTGTCAGTATTTGGGTCAGAAATATAGCCCAGAGGTATTAGTATGATAGGCAAGTATAAGCATTAGACTGTATTAGTGATTTAGCTATCATAATAGCACAATAGTCCATCATGTGATGGCTTGTGCACTAAACATTTATTGTGGATTAGCCGGGAAAAAGGCTCAAGCTGTCTTGAAAACAGGCCGGGGAAGGTGACTGTTCCTCCTTTCAGTGGCTGTGTCCTGGAAGGGGGTTTATTGGAGGGGAAGAAATCTGTGATTGTAGCAGAGAAAGGCAAAATTGTTTCCATCTGAGTTTTTAATTCAGAAAATAAAATGTTGCCTCTGTAGCAGCGGTCAGCAAAATAAGGAGCAGTTGAGCTATTTCTTCTTTGAAAAGGAATATTAGAGCATGAGCAGCCTGTCATAATTTGGGTTACATGTTTTGGGGAGCCATTTTAATATTTCCTCTGAAAACAATGACTTTATATGGAAATTTTTATTACATTTGCAAATAACAATTTTCTGTGCTGTGATTCCATCTAAATCCCTTTGCCTACTCTAAGTGTAAAAAAAGCTTAAGCCACATGAATATTGAAATACTGCTCAGAACAAATTGAGTTTTGTGTGATGCTTCTGAGTGTTTTCCTTTTTCATAAACATGTACTTTTTCCAAAGGAAGCTGGAGATAATGGGCAAAAGTCTGCTATTCCTTTTTGCTTTGTTAAGCCAGGCTTTAGATCCTTTGGTCCTCCCCTCCTTCTCCGTGACCTGTGCTAGGGTCTTAAAATTATACATTCCAGATTACACCTCCACAATTTTCTGTCCTGGGATGATGAAAGGATTTGCATATTATGGTAAGATTACAAAAAATCTTTTTGGAGCCTAGTTAGCGTGGCTAATTTGAAACTACAAAGAAAAAAAAAAAGTAATTTCTAATGCAAATTATAATATTCATAAACTGCTAAACTGATACCTAACTAATTTCTAATCTCTCTCGTATTCCCAAGTATCTTGCACTGGCCTTTTTTAGGCCTGTCTGCTGGCTCCCATTTAATTTGTCCTTAGCTGTGTGCAGTGGATTAGCATTTCATCAGGTTGGATTAAGATTGAGCTGACACTGAAGCTTTCTTTTTTATTTTTACATGCGCATGTGTGGGGCCGAGCGGATCCGCGCACGTTCCGTTATCCCGCTGCCCATCCCCGGTGGGTGCTGGGACAGCCTCCCCCAGCACATCAAGGGGGGGAGACAGCCAAAACAGAGGAAACACACGTTAAAAAAAAAATAAAATGTTAAACAAACAAGCAAAAAATAAAAAAAAAA